CAAATAAATAAATAAAATCTTTAAAAAAAAAAAAAAACTACTGTAACTATGAAAGCAACAAAAGAAGCTATGAATGATCATTAAGTACATGCAAATTAAAAACCACACTCCCCCACCCAGAATAGCTAAATTTATGAAGAATGACATGACTCATGTTGGTGAGGTCAAGAAAGAGCTAGAACTCTCACATAGGCTGGTTCAAATTAAATGGCATAGTCACTTCGGGAAACTATAAAAACACTCTCCGTAAGACCTAGCAAATTACGATTCAAAGTATTTACCCAAGAGAAAAACACGTGTTCACTAAAGAACTATACACAGCATGGTCAAAGCAGCTTTAGACAATCAAAAATAATCAAATGTCTATTAACAGGAGAATGGATAAACAAATAGTGCCGTAATCATACAATGAAATACTCAATGGTAAAAGCAATGAGTTTGAAAATTATCAAGGCAAAATAAAGCAGACATAAAATAGCACATGATTCCACATATATGACATTCAGAACTGGCAAAATTAATTTAATCTGAGGGAGGCAGGGGAGCCCCAACTTTAAGTGCAAAGAGGCACAGTGGCACTTTCTAGGGTGATGGAATTGATTCATAATATGATTAGGGTATCTGTCATATTCATTTAAATAGACAAAAGTGGATATATTTTATCATACTTAATATCGCAATAAGTTTTTTTAACTAGTAAGATAAAAAAAGCGTTAATTATAGAAAATATTTGGATGTTACTAAAAGTTTTATGTTTCAGTTTTTCAATTCTGGCAATAGGCTACTATTTCTTCACATGAGTACAATGTTTCAATCTCAGCTCACTGCCAGGTAAAAATTGCCTTTGTCAGTTCACATACACACTCCTAGAAACATACCTGGATTTCTGCAGTAATGGCTGCATTTAAGGCTGACTCTAAGCCTCCATCAGCCATCAAGCTGCCCACCAGAAGATCAATCATGAATCGACGACCTGGACTTATGTTAACTTCATTGCCTGAAACTGGAAAGGGAAAGCACTTTTGCCAATGTGAGGTAAGCACCAACGCCTCTTGGCACCCTCTCGTGCGCCCAACCCATCTCCAGCCCTGCTCCTCACCCAAGCCCACCTGCACAGGGCAGGAGAGCAGAGAGTGCCCGGGCCCTCTCCTCAGCGGTGGGCAGAAGCACGGACCACCCGCTCTGCAGCACAGCCTGGGCAGCTGCCTGCACAGTGCTTAGGACGCCTGCACTGCTGGCCAGGGCCACCACGGTCTGTTTCAGGCTGTTGAGGAGGACGCTGCCCAGACCTAAACCAAGGAATTCTGGGTCAACTTGGTGACTAATGGCAGCATGTAACTGAAAGGAGAAAAACAATTTTAATTTAGAAGCCCTAAAAACAAGTGGATTTCAAAACTTATTAAAGATTAAATAATACCTCAAATTGCATTTTATTTAAATAATAAAGGAAAAGTTCTGATACATGAATTTTTTAACCAGACTAAAAAATTTTACCCATACCAGATGAGAATTGATGGTAAGGTATTTTTTTTTTTTTTAAAGATTTTATTTATTTATTTGACAGAGAGACACACAGCGAGAGAGGGAACACAAGCAGGGGGAGAGGGAGAAGCAGGCTT